CTATATTTTTTTTGATGCGTTGAAAAATCCTAATTTAATCATTTTTCTGGCATTAAAAAACAAAATGAAAGAAAAATATGTGAAGCGAAATTGTTTATTTGAAGTTATCTATATATAAAAATTTTCGCGTAAAATATTAACAAAGAAAGAAAATTACTAAAAGTAGCGTAATTCTAACCAGATATGATGTTAAAAATATATAAATATTGCAAAATTTTAAATTGAAATATATAAGTTTGCTGCCAGAGAAAACTTACAATAAAGAAGGATAATTTTTCATAATAAATGTGTTCTTTCCTTTTTGTGTTTCTTCTTAAATATTCTGAATATATGTCCTGAAATGCGGATAAATCAGTGAAAATTCTTGAACTTTTATACAGATTTTTTATTATTTGTTTTATATTTATATTAGATTTAGTAAAATTAAGTCACGAAGATAAAAATTGAATAAAAGTTTTGTATTAAAATCTTAAATATACTTGATCAACATTGAATCGAAACTACCGGAATGTTGACGAGATTACGCAATATCTAGGCGCGTTCCTCGCGTTTCTCGAACATTGTACTATTTATCCACGGCATTTCTATGTGAATAAAACATCAAATACGGAATATTGATTTCAGCGTTATTTCGAACAATAGTCGTCTTGTCTGATAAATTCCATAATGGTTTCTCCAGTCTGCGAAATAAAACGTCGCTCTTCAGTGCACGTCACTAAATTTTCTGCGACAAAAATTTCTGATCTATCGTAATTTATATTTGCATCAATAAATTGCAGCAGCGATTATATATTCTTAGGATGGAAATACAAGTTGTTTAGTTGAAGAGCATTTTTATAGTTAATTAAGTTGAAAATGAAAATCTTTTCGTTTCTAGAAGATAGTTATAAAAATGTTATAAAAAAGATAGTTATAAAAAAGGAATTTGCTAAAAGAATATCATAACAATAATAAAAAATAATACAATTAAATGAAATTATAACAAAAGTGATAAAAAATATGGATAATGTGGAATACATTTTTTAAAATAATTGTTGAATCCATTTATTGAAATAGATTTCATAAAAATGTTTAAATTTAATATACGTGTAATATATATTTTTTTCATAATTTAATTTTTTGATAACATTCGATATTATTATATAACTTTCAGAATTATAAGCTTTAGAATTTTCTGTTTAATTTTTTTGTCGGTTTGTTTCATGTTGTTTCGATTTGTTTCTGGTTTTCGAGATGATTTTTGTAAGGTATAATTAGACCAAATAGGGGGCGCGGAATTTCCCTTAATTAAATAAAGGATGAGCGTAGTTTAAGGAGTCCCTGCCCTGTTTGCACTGTTTTAAATTCTCTCTCATTCTTGCGCATATGTATTTGGTAGACAAGAGGGACTCTTTCTCTGGAACTTTTGCCACGCGGTAATTAAAAACTCGCGGAAAATAAAGGTCAAGCCTCGAGTAAGTGCGCTAATTGACCCGACTTTGCAATGGACAATCGCGTTTTACTCGCCGGGACAAAATTCTCGACTTTCGCCTACTCGCCTCGGGATAAAATCTCGCGTTTCGCGTTTCGTAGAGACACGGATTCAACAATGAGTATGCATCAATAAGTGAATTTGGAATTTTCACTGTTGAAAAGTTTATGAACTATGTTATAAATTTTTCGCTTATTTTCTTAAAATGCTTAAAATATGCGTTAATAATTAATTACAAATTGTAAATTGTAAAATAATTACAACATTAGTAATCAGTTGTAAGTAATTATAACATTAATAATAATTTGTTGATATAAAATTTGTACTATTTACTATCTACTTTTTTATCTATTTCCTTTTTACTTTTTATCTTTTTATCTTATCGTGTCTTATTTATCTTAATCTGTTTTGGAAATATGTTTAAAAAGATTAAATTTCAAGCATTGTTTGAGTCAGGAACTGCCAGACCCGATATTTGTTACTGTGCAAACTTGATCTGATTTATTTCCTGCAATTGCATCATAACGGCTGGATAATCATCATCAGCGGTCATAGATTATGACCGCTCGGAAAATAGATTATGGCATGGACGAAACATCGTAATTACGACCGTGAGACTCAATAACTTGAATTCCAGCAATCGGAGCCTCGAGCACATTATTGATCCTCATTAATTACTCGTTAATCTCTAATAGCTTTGATCGAT